AATTATTATTGTTTCCGGTCTACCGGAAATAGACCACAACTTCGTTATTTTAAATGGAATGCTATAGTTTTTATTACACCTTTCAATTATACGTAAAAAAATATGTTGACTTTGATAAAAGTTGTTGGTACCTAGCGTTTTTTGTTTTCGAGTTATTTTGATTTTAAGTGTTTTTTGACAAATTTCACCATGGTCTTTAAAAGCCCATATCTCAGCTAACGATCATTCAAAAAAGCTCTGCATTGGCACGACTACTCTACAGATGCTGCCAAATAGATTGTCATTTGTTGTATCAGAGAATCTTATACAGGCTGATCAAAAATTGAATTATCGTTTCTCAATATTCAATTGCGAGAAAGTCGAAAATTTTAAATGGAACACCCCATACTTCTTTACCCTATCAGAAAGGGAATTTAATTCTCTACAAATTATCTATAAACATTCCTATACCTATTTATTGTAGTTTCCCTGATATTGGAAAATTAATCAAAATCAGACAAAGCCCGTTTGTGTTTTTGTTAGCAGGCCAAGACATTTTGACAGTTCATCGTTTAATTTATTTAAATTATTATTGGTATTATTTCTACAATTAACTAATAAACAGCCCAAATATGTAAATTTTGTCTATTAACAATACCCTCCCTCGAAAATTTTGATTCATCCGTCCAAATAAGTATAAGATACTCTGATACAAGAAATGACAATCTATTTGACAACATCTGAAGAGTAACTGTGCCAATTTAGAGGTTTTTTTAATGAACGTTAACTGATATATGGGCTTTTAAAGAGCATGGCGAAATTTGTCAAAAAAAGCTTAAAATCAAAATAACTCGAAAACAAAAAATGCTAGGTACCAACAACTTTTATCAAAGTCAACATTTTTTTTTATGTATAATTGAAAGGTGTAATAAAAACTATAGGATTCCATTGCATTCCATTGCACTGCTGGAGGTGAAAGCAGGGGTCTTTCACCTCCAGCAATAAAATACAACATCAGTTAGTTAACAACAAGAACAAAATAAAGATTGAAGACAGAAGTGGCGTGTACCAAATTAAGTGTCAAAAATGCGATGAGATTTGCATAGGACAGACTGGAAGAAATTTATACACAAGATTTAGGGAACAACCACAAAAAGCAACTCATCGGTATATAAACATGTTAAAGCCTGCAAACATGAGATCAAATTTAAAGACGTCAAAATTGTCAAAAACCTAAAAAAGTCTCTTGAAATGGACCTCTACGAAGAATTATTCATCAATGTAGGCAATAATAATCAAATCGAATTAATGACTGAATTCAACAACAGAAAAAGATTTTTTATGACATTTGTGTAAGCAATCCAATATGTCGTTACCACACCAACCACACAACACCCCCACCCCCCTCCATAACATCATCCCTCTTCACTCGAATATTATATGTCATTCACGCATGCGCTTTACATTTATTTTAACGTCAGTACGCCATTATTATAAGTTGTGGAACGGTCTTTCGAAAACTCGCTAAACCGATAGTTGATTTTGCTGACCATCTATTTTTAACACCCTTGACAATAATTGCTGTTAACAACGTGTTGTTCATACAGCAAAATAACTTTTTACATTTCATTGTCGGTTGTTGAAAAGATATTCCTGTTGCGTGTTCGTCGTGCTTTTGACAGAATAAGTAAGTCGCCATTTAGTTTTATAACCGTTCTCTCGAAATTAATAACTATATTTTTTAACAAGTTAGGAACCGAATAAGAAGTGAACCTTGTTTTCTTTACAGAATAGATAACGAATACTTTTATAATTAAACCGTTGGGTAAACGTGGTTTAATGTTAAGTTGGGTTTATACAGAATTTAGCTGTAAATTTAAATTTAAAGATTTAGATTTAAGGATTTTATTTAGTTTTAAGAAAAAAGTTGATTTATGCAGAATTTAAGATTTACAGAATCGCAACCTCAAGAAACAAAATATTACTGGTTTTTGTGTTGTCATTTTCTACCAGTATCTTATCTTTATGTTCAGAACATTTTTTATCGTAAATATATCGGTAGTTCTCAACAACTTTAATTAATTTTCCATCGAATTCACTAATTTTGTTGGCACAGAAATAAACAACAGTTGAGGTTAGGTTAGAACACGCTATTTACACCGGCCGATCATTGGATACAGCTGATTAAGGTCATCTTGCGCATGTGTGACGCTGTAAATTTAGAAAAGTTGACAAACTTTATGTTTACAGCTAAATCTTACAGCTTTGTATAAACCTTTGATTATATATAATATGGATTGAGCCAACGAGAGAGATAGCTTGCGCAAGGTGATCGAACCGAGATAGACATAGAAGCGTACTGACATATAATGGGCGTGCGTTAATTTTGGCGGTAAATTTAAAACAAAATTAATAAATGAAAAAAGAAAAAAAAATATAAAATAAAATTTCCTTATCATTTATAATACTTACAGGTGATGTGAAACTGTATTATCGCGAACTTTGCACACGAAACAATACATTTTTAAACATAACGGTGTGACTGGCTGTGACACAACAAAACGATAAACGTCAAATGGAAGAGGTTTGACACTTTTGTGCGCATGCGCCCGTCTGTTTAGTACCGTTTTATGTCTATCTTTGTTACACTTTCACATTATCGCTTTCCATCAGCGTCTATTCACCTTGAGCCACATTTTTGTTATAGTAGACGCCACGAGAGCTGGCAGTAAATCATCGTTTTCCGCTCTTACAAATGCCATACGTAGTTCACAAACCGCTAGAGAGTAATGTGTGTTAGAAAGAAATAGCATTAGTTTAATATGTCTGCTGTACAATTCAAATGGCCACGTCGAAAAAGTACGTCTGTTCTTCTAATGGATGTAACTATATAATTATAACCTCAAATCGAAACGTGTTGTGAGCGTTGTCATGAATCTATGTTTTCTTTGAAAGGAAAATCATTTAAATAATATCTTTGACAATGTTTGACATATAACCTCCATTACTAACATAACCTACATTTAAATGTATGTGGTGAAATAATCTAAGTCGTACGTCCATATCTTGATTCATACTATTTTTAAACGATCTGTCACTGCCAGCTTTCGTGGTTTCTACTATAGTAGATATATTCAGTTAGCTCAATCCATATTATATATAATCAAAGGTATAAACGATACATGGGGTTTCAATAGATTTAACTCTTACAGCAAAATTTTTAAATTTAAATTTACAGCTAAATCGTCCGGCTTTAATCTATCTTCACTACTTGTGTCGACAACATAATCATTTTCAACATCGATAAAAATTTTGACGGTAAATTAGTTTTACACACATCTATCCTTATAATTTATGTCTTTTCTTTTTATATATATCACCTTCAGGCGTGCCTGAAGAAGAGTGAGGATTTCACTCGAAACATTGTAGCACCGAAACATTAATAAAACCATTCATCGCCCAGTTTGATTACATTTATCAAATGATTCTAGTTCTAGGTATAGTGTTAGACCTAGAACATTAGACCTAGAACTAGAATCATTTGGGTTTAGCCGCACGTCTCTAAAGACGTCTAAACCCAAATGATTCTAGTTCTAGGTATAGTGTTAGTTCTAGTTTTACACTTGCTTTGTCACTAGAATTAACACTAGAACTAAAATCATTCGGGTTTAGCCGTGCGTCTCTTAAGTAAAAAACATAGAATTATCATAAAAACGTCACCTTTTTCAAGAAAAACTTTTCCATTGCAAAACTACCCAATTCCTGTACTATTAAGCTATGTTGCATTTTATGAGGGGCAGTGCAAGTACATAGTAGTTTCGTAACTATATTTACTGCATTCATATATTGCGAGTTAAATAAATCCTCAAATAATAACTAAAAAAATCTATTTTGTTTTATAAAAATTTATTTAGGCTCTGGCAACAAATACTCTTCCATTTAACGGTTGTACACGTCTGTAATTATTTCTCAATCCAGGATCGATGCAGTACAAATCTCGAAATCTTTCAATATTTTCTCTAGATATTTCCAATATCTTATCAAAAATTATCCATGTAACTGTTTCGTGACAAGGCGGAGTAGTTAATGATCCAGCGTAACAGACGTAACGTCTTTGAAAAGGGGGAAGCAATCGTGCCATTGGAAACGGAATCGGAATTGTTATCTTTTTAGATCTTGAATAAAATTTTTCAAAACAGCATGTAACGCAATTCATCGCGATATCATTAGTTTTAGAAACGATGTGATACATATACGCCATAATCATAATACCATCTTTTTGTAATTCCGCTTTCTTTAATTTCCCATACTTTGTATTAAAAAATACAGCGTGAGCCTCCATGGGAAAATACTTTCCGTTTATTGAGTGTTCGCTTCCAATATTATCATGATCACCCCAATGAAAATGTATATGATCCAATTGATATGTATCGCGTAAAGGACCACCTTTAATTTTAATTTTAACTCCACATGGTTGTAATCCCACTACAATAAAATACAACATAAATTTATATCGGAATTTTTATGGGGGATTATACCGGTATCTTTGGTTCTTATCAATTTTATAGATCTAGGTGATTCATAATACGTTTGACTCCATGCGAAGTTGGGAAAATTTGTTTTTAACGCTACATTGCATGTTGAACAAGGTACGTCCACCGGTGATTGTTCTTTTCCTGCGCATGATTTAAACGCTCCTTCCCAGGTGTGATGTCCTTCTTGGCAGTAATGCCTTTCTTTTTCGACTTTTAACTCATTATATAAAGGGATTAATTGAAAACAAATCAGTACGAACATAAATAAAGATGTTTTACTAGCCATTTTTTTATCGAGATCTTTCCATTGCCAGAGCCTAAAATTTCTATTGACATAATACAAATTGACAATGAGTTGACAATTTCTAGTTATCGTTATGGCATGTCATTTTATTTCCTGCCTTAAATAATAGTTTGGGTTATGCTTTTATGTCATTAATTCTAGCTTTCATTCAACTTAGTGTATGTCTAATTTTAATATGCTACGATATCTATTAATACAAACTTAAAAGAAAATGATCTAAATAAGTTTTTACGTTTAATATAAAAATCAAGTATAACAATGCATGAAGACATTCTTTGGGGGACGAAATCTCTTAATGAACTCGTAATTGGATTAATGCCGATCGTGGCCCATTCCATCTTTAATTAAACGCCCAACACGTATTGGAAATAATTAGTTAAAACCTTCTAGGTCATCAAGGCTTTCTTCACATTTTTGACTAGTGCATCCATCATTATTGGGAATGTAAAGAATAAATATTAAGAATTTTCTTATAACTATTTAAAACGGTTACTAGTTAAAAATACTTACTAGCTAAAAAATCGGGTTACTGTATAAAATTTGTAAGAAGGGTTGGAAAGACTCGGAGAATACTTATAAAACCACAACTAAAGCCGAGAAAGCTTTTGACGTCGTAACAAAGAAAAAACTGGTCATGCCAAAGAAGAGGTGATGAATAACTTAAGTTATAAGATTACTAACTAAAATTTACAATACAATTCGCAATCAGGTCACAAGCAACAACCGAATATCAAATGAATTTGCCACTAACGAAGGAGTGAAACAGGAAGGGTGACTTCGCCCACTATTGATGATAACGTTTATGGATGCAATTATTAGACACACGAGGATAGCAAACCGCGATTTGTCGGCTTTAGAAATCTGGCACCGGTAAATGTTTCGGAATGCGCCTTCGCCTCGAATAATAACTAAAATAATATACTCAATATGAACTAGATGAAAATGAATAAGTTTCCTTAAAAGACATAAGTAGTGACAATATTAATAGATAGCGAAAAAATTTACATACAACTAGATGTACATATATAAATCAGTATATAGACCAATAAGTTCGTAGGTTGTCAAAGCCGGTGTTATTAGAAATAAAATTACATCTAGACACTTCCAGGTGAAATTGAATTAAAATATTATTTGACGTTTCGGATGCCCTGTTACAACCTTCTTCAGGATCAGGTTCAAAACTTTTGAGCGACTTTGGCACAGAATAACAGATCTGCTCTAAATGCTCTTATGTTATTCATAAGAACAGTAGAAATGAAATACTTACGAAAAGCCCTTGGAGTAATAAAGTTAGATAAAATCCGTAATAAATCCATCTTAATGTCATATCTGATATCTTCCATTCTATAACCTCTACTTTCTTCTTTAATGTTTTATTGACGAAATAAAAAGCCTAGAAATTCGGGTTGTAAGTGCCATATTTTGCAAGCGGTGGAAATAAAAGGAAACCGTCATTTGGTCAAAAATAAGTTGTTCAGGTGTTCGACTAGCAAAGAAAGATCGTTAAAAATAATCAAAAATAAGTTTAAATTGAATATTGACACCATATGAAGATGAGCAATGTATAACGAACGTTACAATGTCCATTTGCACACGATTTGCGCTGGTTAAAATGACGAAATATATTGTGGAGCGATGAAAATAAAATTGATTATTTTGTATCAAATAGGCTTATTGGAGGCTTTGTATTATTGAGCATCAAAATGGTTATAAAACATGGTGAGGTACTTTTATCGGTGCGTGAAGAGGTCTATTTTGTTATAATATATACAGTTGAATCTGCGCGGTATAATGCATCGGTGAAGAGGTGTTGTAACTCAATCCAATACAATCCGACTCGAAACAAACTAAACGCGGACAACAATCTAAAAATTGATTTTAAATGTTGTATTATTTCGTTTTTATTTTCTCTTTCAACAGTATCAAATTGTTTTTATTAAATCACGTGTATTTCAACATCGGCTATAAAATGCTTTTTTGTTTTTTAGTGTATTGAATTATTATTATTTATTGGATAGTACCTATATGTTTTCTATATTTTTATTTTTTATACATATTTTATGATTAAAATACATTTAAACGTGAATATGAAAAGAGGTCGTGAATATCCCCTCTCGTCATTTGGCGCACTTGCACCATCGTTCAAAATTAGTGGATAATTTGACGCTACATTTTGCTTGACGACATATCTAAAATTATGCTACACTTATTACACTAAAGTACTTAAAAAATTACGTTACAGAAGTTAGGGATCAGCCAAGAAGATCAAAACAACGAAATGTTTCTAAAAGAGCAATTTTACTACAACATTGAACGAGATGAATTTGGTCATGTTGTGGATGTAGGCATTGGAAAACGAGATTATTCCACAATTCCAACAAATGGTGAGAGATGGAAATTGCTTTTTGTGCTGCTTTGAAGCAGTTGATGCTAGCTAAAGCAACAGATTTAAAGTTAGCCACACGCGTTATATCTTGGAGATATTATGTATTAGATAGTGTAATGTATTAAGACTTATAGGAAAAGTTAAAGAGTTCCGTTTTTAGCAAACTTATCAAACCCAACTCCTTTAATTCTAGTTGACATTTCAGTAGTTATACATTGTGTGGAAAAATCGTGCCAACTGGAATATGAAAAGTCGATTTTACTAACCCAACTCAAAATTTATCAGTTAATACACCTGCTTTGATCTTCTAGAAAGTTATAGTTATGGCTAACCAGAGTTAGCCATAACTGTAATGTAACTAGATTCACCCGCCATCCATCTATTCAAATTTATACCGCAATTCGGACATACGAAGCTGGGTGGCCAGGGTTTGTCTAAATTCGTCAAAGCAAACCCAAAATAATGAGAACACGCCTGTTTTATAACAGTTGTAATTGGTCGTCCCGTCATCCCAATAATGTATTGTCCGCAAATAAAATAGAACAAATGAGCATTCAAAACTTCTGCTGCTGCTAGTCATTATCAACAAAACTTTTACAACACTGCTATTTTCTTAAACGAAAGATCACTGAGGTGTTTATTATAACAAGGTTCTAATATACAGGGTGTTTCGGTGACTCGGGGAACAAATTTAACCACATATACTAGACTGAAAGTGATGACGATTCATGTAAAAAAAATTAGTAAAAGTCTTCAAATTTCAAAGATACAGGCCATGAAAGTTAGGAAATTTTAACACATTTTTCCAAATATCTTAATAGTATATTAAAAAACAAGTTTCGTAAGACACGCTTGAAATGCACGAATTCAAGTTGAAAAACGAGTGGCGAAGCCACGAGTTTTTTAATGAATGAGTGCTTTAAGTCTTATGAAACGTGTTTTTTATGCTATTTTTTGTAATTCGCGTTTTTATCCTTTTTTTTTCCAAAAAATAAAATAAATTTTGACAATGTAGGGAAATAGGTATG